CAGACGGTGAGATTTGATGAGTCACTGAGGGGGTGAAGTTTAGCCCATTGGCTAGGTGGCAGAGTGTGAGGCCTGGAATCAAATTCTGACTCAACCATCTCTTTGCTGGGGGACTGTGAGTAAGTTTCCTCTATCAGCCTTGGTTTCCTCGTCAAATAGAAATTAAAAATTTTTTTTTCTCTTTCCCTCCCCAATATAGGTAGAAATTTAATATGGACTTAGGAAATTGCTTTGCGTATTAGGGACAATATGTACCTCCCTCTTTCTCTCTCACTCTGCACACACACACACTTCACCCCATGCACATGCATCATGCCTCGTGTGCAGCAGGATCACAAATCGTGTTCATTCGATAATAGCCAAATTGCAAACTGGCAGCTTCTTTGCTGACCTTCCATTACAGAGTTAAATGAGAGAATTAAAGCCACGTGTTAACCGAAGTGCCAAATGTTGGGTATCTAACATATGCAGGAAGCCAGCCTGTCTCTGAGGGTGCCTGTCTGGGAGATGATCGTGGAAAACACGATGCCTGACTGGGGAAAATGCCAGAAATGCTTGGGGACTTTGGTGCCTGTGCCAACACCCTAGTCTCTGACTCAAGGGGGACGTGTGGGATCATTTCCACAGTTCCCCACAGGGAACAGGAATTCCTCGAAGACCTCGACAAGCCTCATCAGTCCTCTCTGTGCGCAGCCCAGGGGTGGGGGGGGTCCCTGCCTTCTGAGTCCACCATAGCAAACTGCCCAGATTCCCAGCCTGTTCCCTATTCCTTGAAAACTGGGAACTAGCACTTTCTCTCTATACTTTTTAAAAAAGAAATTTATTTATTTATGCACACAAAAACTGGGGTGTAGGCCAAAGGTGGGGGGGGATTGGGGATGAGAAGATTCACCAGAGACAGGAGAGGTCTGCTGTGCCATGTGGTTCCCTGGCCGGGGATCGAACTCGCACTGTAGTGGCCGCGGACAGCTTTACCAGTGCTGTGCTTTAACCTGCTGGGCCACCAGGGAGGGCCCGCACTTTCTAACAAGTAGAGACCAAACCTGAGTGTTCCAGCTCCCTGGATGACCGCGTGGCTGCCTGGGGAAGAGTAAGAACTGGACAGATCTGTGGCCCCCTGCGTCTGGGGGCGGGGGCAGACGGCTGGGAAGTGGGGTGAGAGAGTGCACTGTGGAGTCACAGGCCTTGGGCTGCTCAGCCTGTGCTGACCCCTGTTACTCCAAGCCTCAACTTGCTCCAGTGTGAAATAGGATTAGTCGGACCTCGACGCGGTCCACCTTCTCAGGCACGTGGAGGACACTTGGCAGCCAGCACACTCGCCACGTTTTGCCATAGATGGGTGCCAAGGCTTCACAGGAAGGTGCGTCCTACAGGGCAGGGTCCTGGGCAGGGAAGGGCGGTGCCAGAACATGACAGGGAAGAATGACTTGGGGGATCTAGATGGACCATTTATTCCCGTGGTTATTTCTGTTGGTGGGTTTTGCTTGGGGAGTCAGCATTCAGGGCGGGGGGCGGAGTTCCCGGCTGAGATGCTGGTGGCGAGGAACTGTGTTTTGGGAGACCATGGAATTCTTGGGGGGCTGCCCGAGCTTGTGAAAATGATAGCAAGCTTAACACACAAGCAACACTTTCCACCTGCTAATCGTGGTCACGTGCTTATTTGGTCTTCCAGTGCCTGAAATGAGCACAAGGCATGACCCCCCTTTGGCAGGTGGGGAGCCTGAAGCTCAGGGTGGTGGTTTTGGGGTTTAGAAAACACCTATGGCCCCCCAGCACACCAGTTGCCATTTCCTGGTTCTTGAATCTTCCCTCTGGTGCCTGAGCAGGACACTAACTACCCTGAACCTCAGAGCACCGGTTTCCCTTCCTCCTTCCCAGATGCCCTCCCAGGCTCCAGCAAGTCTGTGGGGAGAGTCCGATGCTCCCCCCAGCATCATCAAGTCCACTACTGCTGCCTTCTCTCACTCACCCACCCAACAAACACTAGCTGAGGACCAAAATACTGTGTACAGGCCTGGTGCTAGTTCTTAGGGTACAGAAATGAACTAACGCTCGAGTTCAGATTGGTGCATTAAACTCCTGTTATTCCCAAAGCAGTGTGGTGTGCAGAGCTGGGCATGACATGCCTGGGGGTCGTTAAGCCCAGGTGTATTAATTGGCTTCCTAGAGAGGTCATTTGAATTTTCTAGAAGGATGAGACCTTAGGCGCCCATCTAGGGGAATCCAGTGGAGGGTGGAACATAGCAAATTCAGGCTTTTTCTTTTCTTTCTTTTTTTTTTTTTTAAAGAATTATTTATTTGTACATACAGAACTGGGGTACAAGCCAGAGGCTCAGGGGCGGTGAGAGGCTTCACCAGAGACAGAGCGGGGAGCAGAACAGGCAGATGGACAAAGTACACCGCTGAGGGGAGCAGCGGGCGGGTCAGGAGAGGTCTGCCGCGCCATGTGGTCACCTCTGGGACAGGCAGGAATCAAACTCATGCGGAAGCGGCTTTAGCTTCTCAGTGCAGTGCTTTAACCTGCTGTGCCACCAGGGAGGGCCCTCTTTTCTTTCTTTTTTAAAGATCTATTTATGTGCACAAGAACTGGGGTACAGGCCAGAGGTAAGGGGGGTGAGAGGATTCACCAGAACTGGGGTACAGGCCAGAGGTAAGGGGGGTGAGAGGATTCACCAGAGACAGAGTGGGGAGTGGAAAGGGCAGATCTACTGAAGCACACTGCTGGGGGAGCAGTGGCTGAGACAGGCGAGGTCTACTGCTCCTGTACAGGTCAGCTCCCTGGCTAAGGATGGAACTTGCCCTGTGGTAGCTTTGGAGAGCTCCACAGAGCTTCGCTCTAACGTGTTACCCCACCAGGGAGAGCCCAAATTCAGACCTTTTGGTTTGGGAACAAGTTACAAAAGCTGATTTAGGGGCTCAGCTAGGGCCAGACCACATAGGACGGAGGCCAGCATGCCTGGGCTGTCTGGCCAGCGTGAGGAGGCGCACCAGGGCAGGTGCCGGGTCAGATCTGATTATAAATGGAGGATGCTGGGGGCACAAAAAATGAGGGAACCAGTAGGCTTTGGCAAAGGACAAAGTGAGGAGGCCTGGGAAGGTGGGCAGGAGACAGACTATCTAGGAGGCGGAATGAACAGGGTCAGGAAGCAGAACAGGCTGGGGACGTGGGGGAGGCAGAGATGCCCAGCTGGGGTGATGCCCAGGACGGGCTACCTTGGGTAGTAAGGGGAACAGGAAGTGTTGGTTTCCCTGCACAGAGGAGGAAACTGAGTCTCAGAGACATGGAGCATTTCCAAGTCAGGGGCTCAGTACCCTGAGTGCCAGCGGGTGCTCAGGAGGGGCCTGGGCTCTTGGTGCTCTGGCATAGCCTCTGCTCCTGGGGGTGGCGGCTAGCTCAGGCCCAGCTCCAGCTCTGAAGCCCACCTGCGTGCATCACTGCCCCTCTTCATCATGGGCATTCGCCTCTCAGGTCGTGCTTACCTGTAAAGTGGGGAGGCTGAGAAGGAGGAGCAAAGGCCTGGCTCACAGCGCTTTGAGTCTTGTCAGGCTGGCAGGTTCCTGGCTCCCTGATGGTCCTCTGTCTCCTTTGCCGCCCCACCACCCCCTTCAATGATGGTAAAGCACTGGGGCCCAGTCAGTCCCCTTTTTCTTCCTGCTCTGAGTCCTTAGAGCAGCACTTCTCAAACCTCAGTGAGCACACCAATCACATGCGGGCCTTGTTAAAGCAGAATGTGAGCAGTTCGGGACGGGGCCTGAAAGGCTGCATCCCTCACACGCTCCCAGATAACGCTGCTGCAGCCGGGGTCCGAACCACACGTCCACGAGCCCAGCCCCTTGGCTCTCTACAAATCTCTCCAGGCTAATGACTCGCAAATTTGTACTCCTAATCCAGACCTCTCTCCAGAACTCCAGCTTCTAATTACGACTCTTATCTGCCATCTCTATTTGGATCTTTAAAAGGCATCTCCCACACAGCCCTCAAACCTGCTCCTGAAGCAGGCATGAGTCTTTTTTCTCTTCGCCTCTACACCCAAACTGCCAGCAAGCGCTGTCTACTTGACCTGCAAAGCCTGTCCTCACTTGGTCCGCTCCCACCACCTCCTCTCTGCCGCCCTAGTGCAGGCCACATGTCTTGCCCAGTGCCCCCCAATGACCTGGTCACTCTGTCTCCTGCCCACCTTCTCCCCTGCTTCCAGCCAATTCTCTACATTTACTAGTCAAAGCAATTTAAAAAAAAATGTTTATCAACTGATGTTACTCTCCTGCTCATAAGATCTTCTTGGAGCTTACATCTCTTAGAAGTGAATCCTGACTGCGCCCTAACCCCCAACACCAGCGTGACTGGCCCCTGCTCTTCTTTCCAACATCCCCTTGAGCAAACCTCTGGCCTGACATCACAGCACATCTGCCTTCTCGCTGGCGCCAAGCACCCCGCCCGTTTGCCTCTCAAGGCCTTGACCCCAGCTCTGGCCTCTGTCTCCTTGGCTTTGCCGGCCCCATCACATACTTCAGCTCTCAGGTGCCCTGAATGCTCCATCTTTAGACCCAATTTAACTGCATCTATCTGATCAGGAGCCGCCCTTGGTTTTTAATGGTCCGATTCCCCTTCTGGAAGGCTAAGGCCCATGATGACAATGACTGTGGTTCACCAGCAGTTGGTGCAGGACCAGGGTGGGGGCTGCACGTCATTGCGTGTGACGTCACTCCTCGGCACCCCCACCTATAAAACAGTGATGCCCGCCTCAGGGGGCTGCCAAGAATATGAGCTACACCTGCGAGGCCCCATCACTGTGGGTGATAACAGCGCTGCTGCTATTAGCCCCGCGGTGGAATCCCCTGGCAGGGACGTGTGGGCAGGGCCCACGGCTCCCCAAGTGACCTGAGCTCCAAGCAGCTGGACGAGTTGGCCCCCGTCCATCTCCTGTTGCTGCCAAAGTCCTTGGCATCCGAGAGCAGGAAGAAGGCAGATGGGAGGAAAAGTGGAGGCAAGTGGGCTTCAACTCAACTGTAAGTTTATTAGAAAGGCCATGGACAGATGAACCCTGAGTTACCAGCTGAGGAAGAAATGAAAACAAGCCCCTGCCCTCAGCCCAGCCCCCTGGCCACCTGGGGACTCGTCCTGCGGCCGACTCCAACACAGTCGGCCAGAAAGTGCTTCCTGGGTCCTCCGGGGGCTGCCCGGCCTGGCTGCAGGGGGCCCACGGGGCGATGGATGCTGGTGCCTGGCGCTGGGCGCCACAGGGCCTGGGGGCTCATCCTGACCAGGGAGGGGCTCTGGACCCCCGCGGAACAGAGGGAAGGGGAGCGGCGTGTGGGACAGCCAAGAGCTCTGGGTGGCGCTGCGTGCGTGCGGGCGGCTCCAGAGGCCGGCTGGGGCGGGCGGCCGGCAGGACCCAGGGCTCTGCTAAGGCGTCTCCGCCCCAAAGAGCCCTGGTGTGACTCAGTGCCCCTCCTGGGGCTACGCTGGCTATTTCTGTTCCCAGAAAGGCAAAATGGATCCTGTAAAATCCACGGTGGTTGATGCCATTTTGTCCTTGAAAAAGACAAGTGGTTGTACGGTGAATCGATTTCAACCAGCAGAGCCTGAGCCGAGAAGAGTCCATCCTGGGGAAGGAGAAGGCACTTCTCACACCCGTGCGGGGGTGGCCTGGCCGGCTGTGTCGGCCCCTCTGGGCTCCAGCTCCCTCTGGTCCTGCGACTCAGGCCTGCTCCCTCTGGGAAGTCAGCTGCGTCCCTCGAGCTAGCACGGCCCTGCGGCCGGGGCACCGGCCCCTCACAGGGTGGTTGACGGCAGCTTCCTCACCCGCCGCTGGGCCAGGATAGATGACTCGATGGGCTTCAGCTGGGGGGTGGGCTTGGAGCTGTTCAGTGCAGAGTACGTGGCTGCCATGGCTCCCTGGAAGAGAAGTGGGGGTGAGTCTGATTGGAAGAGGCAGCGCGGGAGAGGGGACCATTGCAGGGCCAGGCCGGCCCCCCACCCGGGTTTGCCAGCCGTCCAGCCCCCATCAATCCAGCCTGGGTGGTCCTTCATGGTCCCATGTCCTGCTGCCTCCATCAGACTGAGCTTTCAGAACCTCAGAGGACCAAGGGCCCAATGTTAGACTGGGGGCCACAGGGCCTGGGGGCTCATCCTGACCAGGGAGGGGCTCCGGGGCCCGTGGAACAGCCAAGAGCTCTGGGTGGTGGACAATACACATGGGCTCTCCTGGCTCTGCCCCATGGAGCCTTGGCCTGAGTCCCTGGATGCCCGGGGTGGCCAGACCTTCACCAGCTGCAGGTCCTGGTGGGACAGCTGGCTCTGCGGGAGCTTGTCTTTCTGGGTGATCCACGGGTGCTGCAGGACTTGCTTGGCTGTGAGGCGCTGGTGGGGGTCCACGTGCAGCATCTTGGATACCAGGTCCTGGGGGCACAGCAGGTGAGGGGGTTGGGGACGGCGGCAGGGGAGCAGACAGCTGTGCCCCACTGAAGGGGAATGGGCCAGGCCACAGCCCTGCACAGCCCCACACCCCGTTCCCTGCTCCAGGGCCTCCTGGGGCATAGCCAGGGCATGCCCTTCTTTGGGTCTTCCTGGAACGCCCTTCCTTTCTTTTTCACCTTCTAGAAGCTGAGCAGGAAGAAGGGAAGCGCAAACCTAAGGGTGGGCAGACCCAGCTTCCAGACCTGACTCCTTGCTCATCAACGGAACACCCTGGGGGAGTTACTCCGAGTCTGAGACAGGGAGAACAACGCCTGCCAGGGGCTGTGCGAGGTGGTCCTGTCTGTGAGAGCTTGGCCCAGGGCCTGCACAGAGGCCCCACAGCGGGAGCCACCGCTAGCCTGAGCGCTCAAGCGCTCCACACGCTTGGATGACCTTTCTGCTTGGTGAGGTCAGAGGCTCTGTCCTGCACCCCCACTGCCTGGGGGACCAGGAGGACCCACCTCTCTCGGTAGCCTGGCATCTGTTCCTTGTGGGCAACCTCGAATGTCCCAACTAAGTACCCACAAAGCAGGGGTTGATGACGCAGCCTGCTGTGCCCTGCAAGGCCTGCAGGTGACCCCCAAGTTGCCCCAACAGGGTGTGTGTATAGGATGGCACCTAACTATCAACAAGGCTCAGAGCTTTGGCCCCAGCCCAGAACTTTCTGTGCTCATAAAATGGGAACATTGCAAAGAGGCTTGGGGAGCACTGCCCTTGGGGAGTGGGGCTGCTTGAGAACAGCTGAAAGCCCTGGGACCCCCGCCCCGCCTCGCCACCCCAACAGGGGAGTCCAGGCTCCCAGACTCACCTTGGCTGTCTCTGAAACTGTGTTCCAATTTCCCCCGCTGAGGGTGAACTTCCCACTGCCGATCCGGGTCAGGATCTCCTCGGGCGTGTCGCTGGGTCCGTTGGCGAATGGCGTGTATCTGGAGAAGAGCCCCGTCCGGTATAGCCTCGGGCCTCAGCCCGGGGCCACGGCGGTGACTGTGCCTCCCCCTCAGCCTGGGGGCCAACAGCGACGGCATCTTCCTCCTCGTGGGGGCCCCCCAGGCAGGGCATGTACCTGTCTTTAGCCCTTCTGAGGCAGCACCCTGCCATCAGACGAGCCACCCACGCTGAACACCAGGGTTGGGAGCGGGGGCGGGGGACAGGCGGCCGCGGCCAGGGGCGCTCACCCTGCCAGCATGGTGTACAGCAGGATGCCCAGGCTCCAGATGTCACAGCCTTCATCGTAGCCCTGGCGTTTCAGCACCTGGCAGGAAGGAAGGCAGGGAGGGGTGAGTGCCAGGCATCACAGCGCCCGCCCGCGGGTAAGACAAGAGGCCCAGCCATGGGCTGGAGCCTCCCTGGCTGCTTGGTCCCCTCGTCCCCACAGCCAGAGGCGGCAGGACACTCACCTCGGGCGCCACGAAGTTGGCGGTGTAGCAGGGGGTCATGAGCAGCCCGTTCTCAGCCCGCAGCTGCTTGGCGAAGCCGAAGTCACAGATGCGCAGGCACTCGGGGTTTCCAGACTCGTCCACATACAGGATGTTGCTGGGCTTGAGGTCCCTGTGCACGACCTGGGGGCAGAGGCTGGGGTCAGCTCTCCACGGGCAGCCGCCGGTGGCCCAGGGGTGCAAGAGTCAGGAAGACAGACAGAGGGGCAGAAGGATCCAGACCGGGAAGGGGGGGTCTGGCCCTCCGTGCTGCTGGAAATGCGACACGGAGCCTGTGCCGACGTGCAGGCGGCAGCGCTGTGTTCGCCTTACAGCCGAGCCCTCCTGCCTCCCTCCAACCTGCTTGTCCTCACCTCCTGGCAACGACCCTTCCCGCCATCAAAAGCCGAAGAGTCGATTCCTCCATCACCCACCAGCGAGCTCCGCTGTCCCTCCCATCCAAGTCTCCAGGTCAAGCACTTGGCGGCATTCGGCCAGCAGCACTCTGACCCAGTCCCTGTGGCCCTCCCCTGGACCACCGCAGCCTCCTCCTCACGGGTCTCCCTGCTTCTGCCTCCCTCCCTGCCTGCTGCAAACACGCAGTCACGGGGACCCTACCGAATGTAAGTCAGGCTGGGACGCTCCAAGGCCTCCCCTCGTAAGAGGGCAAATTCTTACAGGGGCCTACTGTGGCCTCATCCGCTCTCTGCCCTGCCTCCAGCACAGGCTCCTCTCCCACAACAGTCCTCCCTGACAGTCAGCTCCAGGGACACCACACTGCTCTTCCTGCAACTTGCTGGCACACTCCCGCTCAGGGAGGGCTCCAGCTTTCCCACCCCCTTCCTTCAGGCATCTGCCTGGCTCATTCTCTTGTTTCTTTCAATTCTCAAATGTCTCTTTTTGAAAAAAAGATTTATGTATGCATACAAGAGCTGGGGTACAGGCCAGAGGTGCAGGGGGCAAGAGGACTCACCAGAGACAGAGTGGGGAGCAGAACAGGCAGATGGACTGAAACACTGCTGAGGGAGCAGCGGGCGGATCAGGAGAGGTCTGCCACGCCATGTGGGTCAGCTCCGTGGCTGGGGATTGAACTCGGGTTGCTTCACAGTGCTGAGACTTAACCCCTTGTGCCACCAGAGAGGCCCCCCAAATATCTCCTTATCAGTGGGGCTTCCCTGTAGTATTGCAATCTCTGAGCAGTATTCCTTAGCCTTCACCCACCTGCAGCACCCACACAGAATGAGGGTTCAGTAAGCTTTATGCAGCAAATGACAAGCACCCCTGCAACACACCTTACAGGTTAGTTTGGCTGAGCTGCAGATGAGTCAACTTTATCAAGACAGTTCTTCCATAACCCCAACTGAGCCCGAACCCCTCCAGCAGAGCCCAGCCCCTTAGGCTTTCTCCTTCAAAACATGATCACGCGGCCCAGGGCAGGGCAGGCCCTCAAAGATACAGCCTCAGCTCTCCCCTGCCAAGGACCAGCCAATCTGCTGTTGCTGTGGACCCCAAGTACCCTGTTACCCTGCTTTACAAGGCGCTTCCCAGCACGTGGCACTGGTCCATTATACTCAACGGGGGGGGGGGGGGGCACGACAGGGCCTGGGGACTCTGACAGAGGAGGAAACTTGAGGCTGTAAGGGAACTAATTTGCTCTTGTAAGATGCACAGATGAGGGTTGAACTAGCCTGACTTTCACTCTATGGTCATTCCAGTTCAGTGTGGCACAGATGAGTTTTGGGCAACAGGGGGGTGGGAATTTTCCAGCCTTGCCCCCCCTTAACGACACAAAGGGACAACAAACCCCTACTCCTCATTCTAACACCCGTCCCCCAGGTGGGAGAGGGGAGCATCTTCTCACCTCACACCGCACTTGGAAGCGAGACAGGCCGGCCAGGCCGTGGGTGCAGCCATGCCAGCGGGAGCCCTGCCAGCCTGTCTGAGGGGCAGCTGCAGCTTGCACCACTCCCGGTACCATGTTCTAACTCAGGCCCAAGTTTCAGAAGCAGTCAAATTACCAAACCCAACCCAAAACGACAATAACAAGAAACACCCCGCATCCTGCAGGCCAACCAAAATATATGTGCGGCCAAAAGCAGCCAGTCGGAGGCTGTGGCCTCTGGCAGCCTGGAGGCTTCAGCAGGGGCCAGGCAGCCGGTGCATGAATCCTGGCTTTGCCAGAGGTCTCTGTATTATCTCGGGGTGCCAGCTAACCTCTCTGGCCTCAGCTCTCTCACGGTACAGGGGGCTGAATAGAGCTCAGGTCCTAGGTGCACAGGGTACACACAGGAGGTATGTGCCAGAAATGTTCAGCACAGGGCTTGGGAAATGACAGCCTTTGTCCTAGGACCCCAGCATTCACTGGGCTGTGCCCCACTATCAGGCTGCATATGAAGAAGCACTTAGGGGCCCTCCCTGGTGGCACAATGGGATTAAGCGCAGCACTATGAAGCCAAATGCAGCCACTGCAGCTCCAGTTTGACCCCCGGGCGGAGGTGACCCACATGGCGCGGCAGACCTCCCCTGACCCGCCCGCTGCGCCCGTCAGCAGTGTACTTCAGTACGTCCGCCTGTTCCACTCTCTGCTCTTGTCTCTGGTGACTCCTCTCACCCCCTAAACCTCTGGCCTGTACCCCAGTTCTTGTATGCATACAAATACATTTTTTTAAAAAAGTCAGAAAGCACGTAAAGCTTAAAGGTCAAGAAGCACAAGGTAACTGGAGGAAATGTGTCCAAAGCAGCTTCCGGTCACACAGCAGCCGGAAGCAACAGGCCATGGAGCCAGATCAGCTTTGATTTTTTCTCTTAAACCAGGAACCTCACTTATGAAATGGCCTGAGGGGAGCACCTTCCCCAGTCCACTGGCCCAGGACTCTGGCCAGCAGCGGGCTGGCGGCCGTCGGGGCTACACCTTTGTTGTCATGTGTCAGGGCTGTGAGGGACAAAAAGGGGTGAGACTACCCCCAAAAGCTGTTTCAAAAAGGCTGTCTTGGCATGAGGACATCAGGACTACGCAGAGTCGCGGGAGGCTGGGCACTCAAAGAGTTCCCAGAAAAAACAAAGAATTTGGAAAATAAAGGGGGGAAAAGGCAAACAATTCAGGTTTCCAGAATGGACCAAAGATCTGAACAGACGTGTCAGGGAGTCCATCCCCGCCCTGCAGGCGACCCACAGGGCCTCTCCTGTCCTGCCTGCTGCTCCCTCAGCGGTGTGTTTCAGAAGATCCACCTGTTCTGCTCCCGACTCTGTCTCTGGTGAAGCCTCTCACTGCCCCTGTACCTCTGGCCTGCACCCCAGTTCTGTGAGCATAAATAAATCCTTTTTTTTTTTTAAGATTTATTTTAAAAGATTAAAAAAAAAAAAGATTCATTTATGCACACAAGGAATGGGGTGCAGGCCAGCAGTACAGGGGGTGAGAGGATTCACCAGAGACAGAGAGGGGAGCAGAACAGGCAGATGGATGAAGTACACCGCTGAGGGGAGCAGTGGGCAGGACAGGAGAGGTCTGCTGCACCCTGTGGGCCAGCTCCAGGGCGGGGATTGAACTTGCACTGATGCGGCCATGTCTTGGCTTAGCTTCGCAGTGCAATGCTCCAACCCGCTGCGCCACCAGGGGGGGCCCAAATAAATACATCTGAAGAAAAAAAAAAGTGAAGCCACAGCAAGACGCCCTCCACACCCCGCAGCACAGCGATGGCCATAAGGTGGCCGGACCCAGGGCTGCTGAGCCCGGAATTCACACGCTTCCGCCAGCAGCCAACCTGGGTAAAGCACTGCTGGGAAACCATCCACTAAGGATAAACACATGCACCCACGATTTCACTGCGGGGTTCACACCCCACGTAAAATAGACACAGACTCGCCACACAAGCACCGCCACGTCACAGCAGCGTCACAGTAACGGTCAGAACTGCTAACCAGCCACTGTCCACTGACAGTAGAAGGGCAACGAAGTCGTGGCCTGACTGACACAGAAGGTACATGGCGGAGGAGGCGTGACGAGCAGCCACACACGTCTGTGTGTCCACAACTCAGTGTGGCAGGAGCCAGCGGGAAGAGCATGTTGGCTTATTTTTTTAAAAGATTGATTTATTGGGGCCCTCCCTGGTGGCGCAGCGGGTTAAAGCACTGCACTGAGAATCTAAAGCCGCTTCCGCATGAGTTCAATTCCCCCCTGCCCTGGAGGTGACCACATGGCATGGCAGACCTCTCCTGACCCGCCCGCTGCTCCCCTCAGCAGTGTACTTCGTCAATCTGCCTGTTCTGCTCCCCACTCTGTCTCTGGTGAAGCCTCTCACCGCCCCTAAGCCTCTGGCCTGTACCCCAGTTCTGTATGCACAAATAAATAAATCTTTAAAAAAAAAAAAAGATTGATTTATTGATGCAGACAAGAACTGGGGCACAGGCCAGAGGTGCAGGGGGTGAGAGGATTCGCCAGAGACAGAGTGGGGAGCAGAACAGGCAGATTGACGAAGTACACTGCTGAGGGAGCAGCAGGGAGACAGGCGAGGTCTGCCGCGCCCTGTGGTCAGCTCCCTGGCCGGGGAGGGAACTCGTGCTGCAGGGGCTGCGGACAGCTTGACAGCTAACCCCTGCGCCACCAGGGAGACCCAGGAAGAAGAGAGTGTTAACATAAAATTCAGAGATGTATAAAACTGTTAGAAGCCAGCTTCTAGATCAGATACCACCGTGCTGAAGGAGCCCACAAGATCGCCTCAATAGCTCAACAGAGTCCCGTTTCCTCCTCAGCTGCCCTGGTATTTGGGAAGGGCCCGACGCTTTGGAGACCCACAGACTCCTAGACCTGGGAGACAGCTTTCTCCCAGCCTACCCCCACCGAGCAGTTGTCTATTCCCTGGTGGAAGTTCACTCCTTTTGGAGGCAAGTCCATTCTAGAAAGTTCTTTCTGATGCTTGACTTCAGATGACCCCTGGAAATGCACTGGTTCAGCTCTGTCTTCTAAGCCTTCTTGGGGTGACGTGAACTAGTGCTCGCTTTAGAATCACACTTGGAAAGGAAACACATCGGCTGCCTGACCTGGCCTGTTACTCTTTGCGTTGGCCATCTTAAAAACCAAAGCCACTTCAGACCTAACGTTAATGTAGCTGCGGTAACCAAACTGAAGCTCTGGTTATGAGATCATGTTCTTCCCCCCCCCCAAAAAAAATCTCCCACTAATAGGAATTCCTTGATGGTGGAGGGGGTGAAGTCTCAGCAAGCTGTCTGCAGCCCCTGTAGCTCAGTTCGATCCCTGGCCAGGGAGCTGACCCACAGGGCGCGGCAGGCCTCTCCTGACCCACCTGCTGCTCCCCTCAGCAGTGTGCTTTGTCAATCTGCCTGTTCTGCTCACCACTCTGTCTCTGGTGAGTCCTCTCACCCCCCGCACCTGTGTCCTGAACCCCAGTTTTATATGCATAAATAAATGAAGCTTAAATGAAAAAAGGGAGGCTCACTATGAAAGTCACATGCATGGACCCAGTCTTAAGTGTACAGTGAAGGGGTAACTTACCCCTCAACTGAGGTAAATTTTACCTCAGTTTTAAAAAGAGACTTACGGGATATGGCAAGGAAGGAAGGGAAAAGGAAGCATAAAGATCTTGACACTTCTCGATTCTGGGCGATGAGAAAGTGGGGTTCATTATATTATTCATAAAGTTTTGTAAATGTTGGAAAATTTTCCTTCTTTTCTTTTTAAAGATTTATTTATACACACAAGAACTGGGGTACAGGCCAGAGGTGTAGGGGTGAGAGGATTCACCAGAGACAGAGTGGGGAGCAGAACAGGTGGATTGA